AAGATTGGCGTTTCGCGCATTTTGGAGTTTGTATCAATATTTACTGCCAACTCTGGTACTGTTATATGTAGGGAATGTAAAAGTGATGTCTTTAACGCAATCAAGTTTTCGACGCTTAGGTTTTATAATTGTTCAGTCTTGCAACTGTGAAAAACAGAAAGTTATAAACTCATGCTCAGTGATTCATAATGCATGTGAAATTAATCACCGCTTTGTATTTGTAATGCGTCAAGGAATTGATCATGAAGTAGTACATTTTTTCAGCAGTTTCATGGATATATGTTCAGGTATTGGTAACTCGCGTACTTCTAGAGAATATTCATATAGCCGCATCTTCAGTTTTTGATTTTATGTTGACATTTGCGGCTACGCAAGAGAAAAATATGAATAAAGAAGCTGGGAAGCCACGTGATGGATTAACAATTTTAGGTCGGTACTTGAAGGAAACGAGGCTTCTCATCTCTGTTTGGTGTATGTACGATGATTGAAAAATACACTGGATGATTTAGATGCCATGGCTATTTGCAGTTTTATAGCTGCTGGATGTAATAACTGGAAAAATAAAAAAAGGAACAATTAGGGAATGATATTTGGTATAAGTCTTACACCAATGAATGCAGCATAAATCATACTGGAAGCTCTGGTAAAAGGGAAATAAATCACACAAATATTTGCAAGGTGGCATAGGTGATTGTGACATTACAAAATTCAGGGGGTTTTAGGTGCTAAGTCATACGAAGAAACTTTAGTATCAAAAAAATAGTTTTTCTCGAAACTGTTTTCTCAAACTTTCCTGCATCATATTTAGAGAACGCTTTGACTAATTCACTTGAAATTTAGCACACGTAGACGCATAGAGTGACCTAGAATCATCCAAGAATTTAGAAAATTTCAATTTTTCCTTAACGAAAATATTAAAACAAATCATGAAAGGAGAAACCCATTTTCGGGCCCTGATAACTAGGAACCAAATATATATAAAAAAAATCCTATTTTTTTTTATTCCATTAAAATCTTAATTTTATATGCAACGGCCAAGTTAAGAAAAAATGCATTTTTCGATGCTCCTATAAACGGATATTATATCTTATTTATTTTGTAAAACGTCATTGTCTTTATATGTATATACAAAATGATTTTAAAGAACTGTTCTATTAAAAATATTAAACAGGCCCGAACATATTACAGGGAGTATGTAAGGGCAAATAGCTCTGATGTTATAGAAGTGTACATGGGAGGTGAACAGGGGGTTATTACAGGAGTTGTCAATATCTGAAACTACATGGTTATTAAAGAGGAAGAATAAAATCATGACATAAGCAATAAAAAACATTTTGTTTATATTTTAGTTGACAACTAAGTGGGAGAAATGCAATAATGCGATATTAATGCAGCTGTATTATGGGGAAAAAACAGTCGGTTGCTGTGCCCACACAGTGAGCATAATATGGTTTCTTGGTTGTGCACGACACCAAGGTTTTACGAGTATATTACTTCCTGCACAATTATTAGACAATATTTTAATATGTTATTCTGATGACGATGATTTATAAAATTAATTATAGCATTTAAGTATGTCTTTTATTTCTACATATTACTGCACCAAGTTGTCTTAATGGCATGGATGGTAGGTCGGTGCAACAGATTTGTTCATATTAAGTAAACGTGTTTTGTGCGCTCAACTATAGTTTACACTTTGATCTTACTATGGTTTATCTAATTTAAAACACTTAAGATTGTTTTTATACTAGTTAGACGTACAAGACACGTCGTGCTTTCTAAGTGCTTCAATAAAAAACGCGGTAACATATTGTAAATATAATTATAGAAGTGTCTGTAAGAGAGTAGAAACCCCGTGCGCTCATCATTTACCTTGAATAATTTGTCATGTAATGACGTCTAATGTGTCAAAATATATCGTAAAATCTAACCTAAAAAAGCGTATTTTAAACCCGATTTGACTAACTTGGCCATCGCTGAAGCCCATGAAAATTGGACTTATGACGTTTTTCTAAATGTATTAATTTATGAATAACTTTCAAGCCTGTAACACCGGGACCCAGTTTGTATGAGGAAATGGTTTTGTTCTTTGATACTTATTTTCAGAAATCTGTGAAAACCCAATTTTTCCATATTTCCAAATGTCATCACTCGATGCATTTAGGCTTACAGATTAAAACGCCGCTGCTTTTATTCTTTCAGATAATCCAATTAGCTGAAATCGTGGAGGAAGTGAGCGTTTTTTTTTCGAGTAAATGTGTCTTTGCAGTGTAACAATATTTACTTTTTTGTTTTACATATTCTTGAAATAGAAATAAATAAACGTTAAAGAACTCTAAGTTCTATCTTTTCATTGGTTGTCAAAAAAAACCCAAAATATGCTTAATAAATACGCTGTAACACGGGGTAACCCCCATAATACAATATTGTCACGCGTGTTTTATTATTGGCTTTCGGAGTTCGCTAATTATGTTTGGGAGTATTGATTTTATTTAATGAATAAAAATATCTTAACTTACAAACCATGCGCATATTCCATTTAAATGACTAATAAATTATTTTTAACCGACTTCCCAAAAAAGGAGGTTCTCAATTCGTCGGATCCTTTTTTTATGTATGTTCACCGATTACTCGAAGACGCCTGAACCGATTTGGATTTTTTTTGTTTCAAAGGGTGGTCCCATATAAATTTTATCGAAATCGGTCAAGCGGTTTTTTATAAAATCAACAATAAAGATATATTTTTACATAAATTGTTAAATCGAATATATTATTAAAAAACTTTCTTTTTACAAATTACCGGCTTTTTACGTCTACACTAAAAATGGAAAAATATAAACTTAAAAAAACCGACTTCCAGGCACTAAAATGTAAAAAATAACTAAACGGAGGTTTTCATTTAGAATAGATACGTAATATTTCGATACGTAAAATACATATTTACCTATTAGATATTCATATCTTAAAATATTGTCGCTTTGTTAAAATTTTCAGTTTTTAAAAAGTGTAATTATTTTAAATAGTACTTTACAGAACAATGGTACCCATATCTCAAGAGCCCACCAGGATCAAACCTACCGTAAATGCAAGCGATAGGATTGTTATCTCTGGCGTTGCAGGCTTATATCCTGAATCACGAAATATTAAAGAATTTTCAGAAATTCTGTATAATAAGGTAACAAAATTTTTGCTATTGTCCTTTTTTGACTCTTGGTTATGTTTATCTGTGTATGTTAGACATTAAGTCAGGTCGAAAATATTGAAATGGTCAGCTTTTGTATGTCTACTGTACAGTGTGTAACATGACTGATCGGCAAGACTTCGCAGAGCTCAAATCGGCTATCGACGACGTAATCTGTCTGTCTCTGTGTACTGACAACTTTTATGGACAACTTGTCTGAAATAAACGCATATTATTATATTATTATAATCTAGGCTAAACCTTGAGATAAAATCAATGTATTAAAAATTGTAGATTTTAAAAAGACCTACAGAAAATTGAGATACTATGTGTCTATCTCCCAATACACAATGTTTATCTACTTAAAACATACCTTGGGACTAGTAGTAAGTTGCTAGTTATTTACAATAAATCAATCATATGATTACCAGTAAGTGTAATGGAGATGTTATTATTTTAAGACTAATCCGGTGAATAAGCAAAAAGATCGTTGGAATTATGATCATCCTGAGGTAGCACAATATTTAGGTACATTGTCAGACCTTACAAAATTTGACGCCCATTTCTTCAAAATCACTTATCGTCAAGGACACATTATGGATGCAATGTCCCGCAAGATTTTAGAACAAACGTATCAAGCCATTTACGACGCTGGTAAGACATTTTACAGAACCAAATGTCCCGTTACTTCATATTTAATGCGATATTAAAAAACTTAAAAAAACCGACTTCCAGACACTAACAAGTAAAAAAATAACTGAACAAAGAAGAAGTTAAGATAAACTTCCAAAAAGAGGAATGCTCACAGATTTCTCGGAGATTACTAAACCGATTTTGCTACTTTAAATGGTGTTAGTCCCGTAAATTTTTTTTAACACAGAGTTTATCGTTTTCAAGAAAATCCGAAAAAAATATGAAATTTGAGCTATGTATATTAACAGATCTAATTAGTCTTTTTTATCTAGTTCTAATTGGCATATCAAGTTGTAAGTTTGCAAATTTTGTATTTCTGAAGATAATGCAGTTATTTGGCATCATCAAGCTGATCTGATGGCAGGCCAGAAAGTGGATAGTGGAACTTTTCGACGGCTACTAGTAAATTCTTTGAGTTTAAGCTTATTTGGTTTCATTTGACAAGCCCAATAAGTTAGAATTCTATTTTAAAGCCTGATTTTAGTGTTATTAATGAAAGTAAGTTTTTTTTAATTTCTTAGTCTTCCTATAAAATTTAGCAGCATCCAAACATACATAGCCTAATCGAATATGTTATTAAAAACTTTCTCCTTACAAACTATCTACTTATACGTCTACACCAAAACTAGAAAAATTGAAACTTAAAAAAAAAATAAAACTGACTTCCAGGCACTAAAGAGTAAAAAATAACTAAACGGGGGCTCTTTCATGAACTATAGATACCTAATAAGATATTTTCGAAGTCGGTGTCAGACGATGCAAATGCAATGCTCTTTAGATATGTATAAATTACATACATCACAAATATATGTATAATAAAAATATTTTAACTATAATTATTGAAGTTCAAATCTAGTCATTTTCACCTAGATATTCCTCTCTTAATTAAAGCATTGTCAGCTGGCACCGGCTAAACGAAAACCTTCGTTCAGTTATTTTTTACTTTTTAATGCCTGAAAGTGGGTTTTTTTTTATTGGAAGTCGGTTAATAAAAAGTTATTTTATAAATTAACTACTATTATATCTACTTCTTCTTCGAAAACTATTTCTTCTATCTTATATTGAAACACAGCGCATTTTAATAAGAAAGAAATTAATCTTTACTACAGGTGTTAATCCGGATTTAATGTCTGGGAAGAAAATAGGTGTTTACGTTGGAATCTGTCATTCTGAATCTGAAAATGCTAATTTCTATAGTTCTAGAATTAAGACCGGTCTTGGTATATCAGGGTAAGTATTTTAGTCAGTACTTACTATTTAATTGCTTGCTTTTTTATGATATCACACCATTATTACAAGCTTTTACTTTTACCTGTCCGGAGTTGTATGATGGAATCTTGTAAGTTAAATTTGACCCACTTGCGAGTGCCCAATTGAACTGAAATTTGGCACACTAGCTTGGTTCCCGATACAATGTACGATTATTTAAATGCCGCCAATTTTCATAAAATATGGTCGACCCTCATGATATGGGCATCAAATGAAAGGACTTGATAAGCGAAAGCAAATGACGTCATTGTAAATCCAATGTGGCAGACTCCCAAAGATGGCGAACTATATTTTTTTATGTACTCCCATTACATGGATATGAAATGAAAGGGTGTTCTAAGAAGAATATGAATAACTAAAAACCATATTTTATAAAAAACATTATTTTTAACATTTTGTTTCTTGTTTATCTACACAGGTAAATCTCGCGACAAGCTTTTATATCATATGAATTGTGTAATATAATAAATTGATAGGTTTGATTTAATTCAAAGTATTTTCTTCTTTTTAGAGCATTTAAATAAAAGCTTGTTTTTAAAAATGTCTTTTAGCAATTAATTTATTTTAACTTTTTAAGTTTGAGCCATCATCATATTCTAGGTAAAGATTCTTTTTATGTAATATTACAAATAAAATATAGTTAAAACTGTCACTATAGGTAAGATATGCTTGAAAAAACAATTGAATGAACACAGTTATTTACAATATCTAATACAAACAGGTCGTTCTTGACTTCTTCTTATTAATAACATTCATTAAAACATATATAATAAAATTAATTATCATTAAAAGTATGTAACTGCAAAAATCTATTCCAATTCTAGATATATTTTGTTTGTCTAGTTTTATCATAGACTTGACGAGACTCATTAATTTTGTTAATTTGGAATATTTGTATTTGTAGGAGTAGTAAAGCTATGTTCGCGAATCGTATTTCATATTGGCTAAATGCGAAGGGACCTTCAATGGCCATCGATGAAGGGTGCTGCAGCTCTATTTGTGCGTTGGAATTAGCTTACCTCGCTATGACTCGCGGTGACTGTGAAATGGCAGTTGTAGCTGGATCTCACCTCTGTCTTCATCCACAAACTACTTTCCATTACGGGAGGTATATATTTGAATTAATTTATTACGAGGTCTTAATTTAAATTTTACAGGCATACTAGCGACTCACTCTCGCTTAGCTCAGGCTCGTCCTATATATACAGGGTTTTTGTACGTACGTACGTACGTACCTATATATCCCGGAGTTGGAAAGTTGGCGGTGTTTCACCCCCGTGCCTCGGAGAGCACGTAAAGCCGTCGGTCCTGCGCCTTAACTCTCACCGGTCGTGTCGGGTGGTCGTCCCACCGGAGTATGAGAGTGATAGGAATAGAGAGTGCACTTGTGTCTGCGCGTACACTTGAGCACTATAATATCTCCTGCGCAGTTGGCTAATCTCATTCAGATTGGCCGCCGTGGCCGGAATCGGCTAGGAGAACATCATCATTATTATTTTTTCTTTTTTATAGGTAGGAGGGCTTGTGACTTTAAAATTTAATTAAAAAAGAACAATGTATTTCATAATATATATATTTTTAATCTTACTCGTACACATCCTTGTTAATATTAACCAGTAACAAACCAAAAACAATCTTCAAGCATTTTTAAATTAGAGCTCCAAAACTGTACAACTTTTGGATTTTTAATTTTAATTCTTCGAATAACATGCATCTATAAAAATCCCTATGACACTTATCCTGTCGATCATCTTAAAAATATCTATGTATTGTTAGCTATCCACCGGTACATAAAAGTTACAGAGAGAACTATAAAGTCAAGAAAAAATGACACAACAAAGAGACCAGGTGGAAAATTCTAACAAATGCTATTGTTAAGGAATTAAATCAGGATCAAGATAATAACGACTTTAATGCACAATAATTAAAGATTCTTTTTCAGTAGGGTCAACAGGTAAAAAAGGAGAGATAAACTAGAGCTGTTTGTACAATGTTGTATTAAAAATACTGAACATTTAGAACATTTATAAATCTTAAAATAGTAATTATAAAAGATACAATAATGAATAAATTTCTTTTAAAATGAAAATTTAAGTCATAATTGCTAAATACTTTAATTTACTAAAATTTATTTACGTAATATGCGGTAAATATCTTTTTAGATACTGTATAATTTGAGTTAAATTAATTAAAATTTTAATTAAAAAAAAATTTTGCTAAAATTAAATTTGTTTTCCATAATATCTTTAAGAAATGATATGAACAACTTATTTTTGCAAATAATAAAGTACGTATTGGAAAAACGTAAAAAAATATATTTTTGTGTGTAAATATTGTGTTAGTAAATACATCACAATATTCAGCGTTAAACCCTCGATTCGCAAGTCTAAATACTCAGACCTTAGAAAATCATTACATCCATCAAATTATTAGTTAGGTATAACTAGAACCAGAGAGTTCGTTTTTTTTTCTTTGAACTCGGGTGAAACCGCTGGTTCTGCCAGTATTCAATAAACCAAAACCCATGAAAATAATATTCGTACTTTTCAGGGTTTTAAGCACATGTCCCGATGGCAAAACAAAATCCTTTGATACAAATGCTGATGGATGCGCAAAATCTGAAGCTATCAATGTAGTTTTCCTTCAAAAAGCAAAAGATGCTTTGAGGTACATATTTGATGAATCTTAATTTAAAAAATAATTAGATACACTACATATTGTAATTTAATTAATTTTATGTTGTTACTATATTACAGAATTTACGCAGAGATTGTTAAAGTTAAATGTGAATTTACCGATTTATGTTTAGATGAAACGGGACCTATATATGGTTTCTACCGTAGTCCCGAAAAAATGTCTAATTTTTTAAAAAGATTTTATGATGAAGTAAATGTTTCACCTAAAGCGGTGGAATATCTTGAAGCTGTTGGTTCAGGTGATATTTATATATTTTATGATATTAAAGTTTGTTTCTTTTTATAATATAAGCTAAATTGTAATGTATTTTTTTATTAACAGCTATTCCTGAAGCCGATAAATCCGAGTTAGAAGCTATAAGCGAAATTTTTTGCAAGGATAGAATCAATCCACTTTTGGTCGGAAGTGTGATGTCTAACATTGGATATACTGCAGCAGCTTCGGGGTTGTCAGCTCTTACAAAGGTCTATCTAAACATAGAACTCGTACATTCTATTATACTACATTACTTAGATTAAATAAATATTAACTAGATAATTTTTTCATAGTTTTAATATGTATTTAATGACTATATTATGTTTTAATAGAATTATCATATCCCATTCAACAGAAAATGTTGAATAGCCTTAACGAAAAGATAAGCGTAAGCGTAACTATAGCATTAATATTGGTGCAAAGTGATAAGTATTTACTGTATTTTACTATAGCTTTATGTGACTATTATTATTATTGTTATAAAATAGGTCATCCTGGGCTATGAAACCGGTAAAATCGCCGCCAATCTTCATTGTGATTCACCTCGACAAGACGTACCGGCTTTACGGAAAGGAAAAATACGCCTTGTTACTGATCATACAGATTTCGGCCGCTCCTATACAGCTATTAACGGGCTTTCAATTACTGGTGTCAATACACATGTTCTCTTAAATGGATGCTATAAGCCAAAGGTAGGTTTTATAAATTAAAAAAAAAAGTTGAATATATGGATTTTTAATATTGAACAGTTTTTTGGAGTTATACTTATTTTGGCGCGTTAAGGGAAAAAAAGATGAGATTGTTTTTTTTACGATGCGACAGATTTAGATTACAATCTGAAGTTAGTCGTCTTTTTTGGCGGGTAGACACGAAACAGTACAGACAAGAATTTAGCAGCTCTAATACAAATACTTTTTAAAATATATTAAATACATACCTATATGTTTTAAAGTGCCATTTCACACCATAATCTTATATATTTTTAAACTCTGTAGTGACCTACCTTACCAATCGTGCGTAAGCTATGCAATGAGGATCATTAACATATTGATATATGACGACACGTTTGGCTCAGTGTAGTGACCCTACTTGCTGTGCCAGGGGTCGCGGGTTCGAGTCCTGCTGGGGGCATTCATTTTGTGATGAGCACGAATGTTTGTAAGCCAGTCATGGGTGTTTATCTATACTATAATAAAACTGTAGAGATTGAATGTATGTACATAGAAAAAAATGCTAAAAACCGAGTCAAGGGGATGTAAGAAGATAAATAAAACAAGACCAGATTTTTTTCAATTTTTTTTCTGTCTGTTTGTCTGTTTGTACGGGCTAATTTCCGAATCTATTGGACTGATTTAAACGAAATGTTGCATTGTGGTGGTACCTTATCACCCGAGCAACACCATAGATACTTTTCATCCCGGAAAATTAAAGAGTTCCCGTGGGATAGTTAAAAAACTATAATAACTTATACAGCTTAGTACACAACAACGTATGCACCTAATTTAGTAAAATTTGGCACGATGATATCTTATATTGCCGGTCAAACAATAGGTTACTTTTCATCTCGGAAAAATAAACGGTTCCCGTGGGATAAGCCTGTTTGTGCTTTTAATTAAATAGTGTTTATAATATGTATGTATTTAAAGTGTATATGTGTAGTGTATCAACTATCTGGTATCCATAACACAGGCCTCATAGCTTACCATGGAACTAGATGGTGCTGTGTGTTAATGTCCCAACATATTTATTTATTTATTTAACAATTTAGAGCGTCAAAATTTCTCGTTTACATGGGTAATAGAAGTTCCTAATAATTCTACAGTTGTTGTGTAATTGTAGATTTTAAAAAGGCCTACAGAAAAGTCCGCAACAGCATGTGTCTATTTATTTAAAATCATCATTCAAATCATTTATTTAAAACGTAGCTAGTCGAAAATACGAGTAAATAATACGAATCTTGAACATGACCCGTCTGGTTTACCCTACAAGGAAGCTGGTTGTACATAATTTCTGTAAATTGTTAAAAATATTTCAGGTCCCTTCGCGTTATAAGTCAAATATTCCATACTTGGTGACATTATCAGGAAGACAGGAATCATCTGTGGCAAAAATTATAAATGATCTAAAATCTCGGCCAATAGATCCCGAAGAATTAGCGTTACTGCATAATATTCACGAGGCGAAAATTTCCGGTCATTTGGGACGTGGTTACGTTATCCTCGGTAATTTGAAGTATTTTAATTCGATAAAAACATTTGCCTTCCTTTAAACAGGATATTTAAGTGTGTCATTGATCTCGTAGCGTCGCGTCGGCTCAAGTAAAGTCATTAGGTTTTTTATCTAAGATTTTAAGAAGCAGTTCGTAATCGAGAAGGGCTTAACGATCTCGCTGAGGCACGGGGATATAACATTGCACACTTTTCTGTATGAGCATATCTATGACGAGAGAAGAAAGTCATAGCATTTTCTTCCCTCGCTTTTATAAGTACACCACTCGCTTATATAAGCAAGAGTGTATTAGGTATAAATGTAGGTGTATGTAGATGTAAACATAGAAGTAGAGGTAGACCGATAAAATTATGAATGGAATGAAAGAAGTAAATATATTATGCCAACCCCTCATAGCGTGGGATAATAATATGGAGAAGACGAATTTAAATTTAATGAAACTAGATCCAAGTAAACTGGTGTTCAAATATTCAATTCTTTTACAAAGTGGCAATGTCCAAAATACGGAAGATGTGAAAAAAAAACAATAAGGAGTTTTATCTTTGTAACTTATTTGACCACATATTTTTTTTATTAAAACTTAAATATCTTTTAATCTTTTAATAAACGCAGCTACGGACGAATCAAATACAACGATTAGCCTATGTGAGAAAATGACTTACTACGATGATACCAAACGGCCACTCTGGTTCGTGTACAGTGGTATGGGCTCGCAATGGTCAGGAATGGGGAAGCAGCTCTTATGTATACCAGCTTTTGCTGCAGCTATAGAGAAGTAAATATAATTTGTTCAAATGTATAAAATAATATTTTAAATAATTATAATAAAATACTGATGACTGTGAAAACAGTGGTAGCCCAGTGAAAAGGCACTGGTAGCCCAATGGTAACGCGCTCGCTTGAGAAGCCGAGTGAAGCGGGTTCAAATCCTGGGTCTTGCACCTCTGATACTTTCATGTACGAATCATTTATAACATAATTACCACTTGCCTTACGGTGAAAGATAATATCACGAGGAAACCTTCATGCGTGAGATAACCTAGCAAGTTTTCAAAGGACACTAGCTTTTCGCCAACCCACATTTGGCAAGTGTGGTAGACTATGGCCTAATCCTATTCGTATTCAAGGGACGCCCGTGCCCAGTAGTTGGACGTTAAAAAGGGCTGAAAACATACATATTGATGACTGCTATGATTCAGATGCCATCACCTCGCATCACACATCTAACTCATTTAGTATTCAGCTCAAGTTGAAGATGAACCATGGAATTGGTTAATAAGTAGGGAATCATAGACACCTATTCTAATTTCAGGTGTAAGCGTGTTGTAGAACCTCAGGGAATTGATATCATTGATGTGATATGTTCAGAGGATAAAGCAATTTTTGACAATGTTCAGAATTCATTTGTTGGAATTGCTGCTGTGCAAATTGGTCTGACTGATGTTTTGAAAGAATTAGGCATGAAACCTGACAACATTATTGGTATGTTTTGTATGATTTTTGTATATTATAAATAAAGATTATTTAATATATTTTTTTTTTTTTTTTTTTATAATTTTGTTGAAAACAATAACACTTTTTTAAATACCACTTTTTACTAGTTACGTTAAGTAAAGTTAATTGAGTTACTATACATATATGTTAAGTTAATATACATATATATCAATATCTTTTTCAACACACAAACATTTTTTAGGTCACAGTGTGGGTGAGTTAGGTTGCGCGTATGCAGATGGCTGCTTTACCGCAGAGGAGATGATTTTAGCAGCAAGCAGCCGCGGTCAGGTGTCCTTAGAGACACCTCTCATACATGGAGCCATGGCAGCGGTTGGCCTCGGATATAAACAGGTCCGAAATTCCACTAATCTATATCATCATCTATACTCGAAAAATATTGTTTTCTTTCAAATGGTGCCTTTACAGAAATTTTATATGAAATTTTATTAAATGAACAATCAATAAAGTATTTTTTACTTTTTTAGATCGTCAAACTGTGCCCCCCTGAGATCGAGGTGGCTTGCCATAACAGCTCTGAATCTTGTACTATTTCGGGTCCTGCTGAAATGATACACGAATTCGTCAACGTTTTAGTTAGTAAAGGTGTCTTCGCTAAAGAAGTACCGTGTTCAAATATTGCATATCATTCTCGTTATATTGCTGAAGCGGGTAAGTATACGATTATAGAGCTTTACATACCAAAAAGTTAAGATTTTTGGACATATGAAATTATGTATTAGATAATATAGAATATGCACTACTATAATAAGTAATTAAAATTTATAACATAAGCTTTTATCCATGTTGGCTTAATTAATTAATCAAATCAAGCTATTTTAGAAATGTAAGTAAATAATTAAGCAACTTAAGTTAATAATTTAAAATAACAGGTCCTAGACTTCTTGAAATTTTGAGAAAAGTAATCAAATCCCCAAAACCTCGTAGCAAACGTTGGGTATCTTCTTCAGTACCTATAAATAGATGGGATGAGCCATTAGCCAAATATTCTTCAGCTGAATACCATACGAATAATTTACTTGTAAGTTTTGTTTTTAATATTCTATATAAATGTAAAAATAATATACTGTTGGCGACTAAGCAACAATTATTATACATATAGAAAAAGTTCATAGCATTTTAAGATTTCTTACTAAATTACTTTATAAGTTTTATAAATGTTATTCGTTATGTTTTATTTAATATTTTAGGTATTCTAATGATATTAAGTGAGAATTGCATTACAGAGCCCCGTTCTCTTTGAGGAGGCATCACGCTTGATTCCGTCTAATGCAGTGTTGATAGAGATTGCGCCGCACGGACTTCTGCAGGCCATTCTTAAAAAATCTTTTCCCTCCTGCCACCACGTGCCTCTAACACGTAGAGGATATCCAAACGCTGTGCAATTCTTTCTTCAAGCTGTTGGAGAGTAAATATTATAACTTATAATGTTGATAAAAATTGGAATATAATATTGATTATGCGAAGTCATCAACTTTGCTACCGAAGTATTGCTCAATTCAAGCTTGTTTTGTGCACTACATCGTAATTTTTCTATGCACAGTATTATCGATTAAATCAAACGTGTTTTAAATTCACTATCTACAAAAATACTTTTACAGACTCTACATGGATGGTTTTAACGCAAAAATTCGAGCGCTCTATCCTAAAATAGAATTTCCAGTATCTACAGGAACTTGGCCACTCTCGCATCTAGTAGAATGGGCTCATCAGGAAGAATGGTAAGGATTACAAGAATTCACTTCAAAATACTATAAACATTGCTAATATATGCATGCACCTTTGGTATCGTTCTGAAATTTTAGGATTTCTACTAGGGTTAATTTTTTTTCCCAAACAACTTATTACTTTTCTTTGCAGCTAGAAAATGGTACTAAAAGTGTAATAAACTAAGTATAACACTATATATTTACGTTAATCGGACTATTATAATAATGCGAAAGTTTGTCTGTGTGTATGTGTTAACACACATTCTTTGTTCAAATTCCATCCAGTTAAATTTCATGTTTTAAAATTCCATGCAAATTCATCCGACGTTAAAGAACTTGAGCATAGCAAGTGTAAATCTTTAAAACCATATTATAACAGCTATCTGGTACGTGCTACGTATACATATGTATAGGATGTAGGACAAACATGATTAATGAAAGATATGACTAATTACATAGGTTTAATCTAATCAACTATAAATTGTACAAAGACTATTTGTAGTTGAGAATAACAATTAATTTAGTCACAAATTAACTATCCAGAGTCAAGGATAAGCTAGCTAGTACAACACGTGCACCGTGTCACGCCAGAGCCAAGACTGCGTTAGCGGCGGTCTCTCCGTCTCTTTTATACACGTAGCGTTGCGTAGTGGGGAGAGTGGGGGGAATTAAATGACGCTCTCGGTGGCGTGAGCGGTGCATCCTTTGTTTATATAAAAACTTTTTGGCAAAAAAATAAAAATCTACTTCAAACAAAAGCACTCAAAAGTAAAAAATAACTGATTGGTAGTTTTCATTTACTATACATACCTAATCAAATATTTTCGAAGTCGGTATGCTTTATGATATGACACTAGGTTTTAAGCCACTTAAAGATACTAAGTTAATGATAAGTAAATGACCTCTAATATGTCTATATTAATAAAATCGAATTTTCTTATGTTTGTCCTCTGTTTTTCTAAACCATTGTAATGAAACACTGGCGTATACGCTTGCGAAGGTTCCTGACCGCAAAAAAAAGTCCAAAGACGTTTATCTTTTATACTTTTTTAAGCCATACCCACTCGAGTGAAGCGAGGGGAAGTCGCTAGTAAGAAACATGATGAGAAATACAAAAATTGATATTTACAGGACTTTATCCTTATTCGCATCTGTACAAAAGAAAATGGCGTCAGCTTGTAAATATGTTATATCAACGCATGACGATGATTACAGCTATTTACGAGGAAATATAATAAGAGGTAAGAGTTAAGAATATTAATATCATTTTGCAAAAGATTTGTTTCCCATTGAAGTTTTAACCACTAAGTCAGGATGAAATTGACACATTACATTGTTTTTATTCTATTTCTACTATTATACCTTCTTACAGGATACTTAAATAATAATTGAAAGGACAGATTCAAATTTTAATGTAAATTACAATTAATCACTCCAAAAATTTGTTGTTACTGCTATAAATTGTAGTCCTAACCAATGACACTGAAATTGGTATAACTTTTTTAAGGGCCAAGTTAAGGCAGGTTCGATTGTTATTAACTTAGGACGCTATATTCTCTACATACACTTAATTATTATCTTTGTTAAAATTTGCTACCATTGTCACTTTATTTTTTTTTGTCTGTTATGCGAAGCAAATATTCGAGTAAGTCTTCAAATTTATAATTTTTATTTACATTAATCATTTTAGGTAAAAATCTCTTTCCATTCGCCGCTGCGTTGGTATTGGTATGGGATACATTCGCAATGACATTGATGGTAGAGAGGAAGAAACTATCAGTTCAATTCCGCGATGTACTTTTTCACTCGCAACCATTACTGCACGACCAACGACAACTCAGAATTAACATCACCATCCAACGAGGCACTGGACGATTTGAAGTAATTAAAACATTACAGTTATCTACTTAATATAAATATATGTATTAAACCGTCTTACTGATTAACCATCGCCCAGTCCCAACCCCTAAAATTAGAAATTCAAATTATGAACTAAGTTTAGTTATATTTTGAGCCCTCCCCCATTTTATTGGACCGTTGTAAAATTGCTTACGCCCTCAACCCACCACACCAACCATGGACTTATTCCTATGGTACACTTTGCTGTTAGAAAAGTATCAGGAGCAACCCGTACGGAACATTGCCCACTGAGGTACGCCACCTCCTTGTTCAATTCTTGGCCGGCTGAATATTAATGAGCAACAAGGTGAACACACATAGGGGTGATCAACTAGTATAATTTTACTTCTAAGTGAATAAAGTTTTTGGCAATATTAAACTTCGTCCTGCAAAATAGAGAGTAGGGCTGTAGGAAAGAAGAGGCTTAGTATAAAAATTCATTAATTAGGCTGATGTTTTCTCGCTATATATAATATAATTTTATCACATTTTACAATTCAAGTTACAAAAAAATGATTAAAGTACATTTAATTTTATAGGTAATGGCTGAAAACATTAAAGTTATATCTGGTTATATTACTGCTGACATAAGCAATAACAGAATATTAGAAGTAAATTCTAAATGTTATGACAGTACCCAGCTTTGTTCCAAAGATATATATGAATTGCTCCATACACGAGGCTACAATTACACGTAAGTTTTATATATAGAACTATAATTCATAATTATTATTATTGCCATGTTATATACCAAAGGAACAAATATGGCACATCTCCAAAGAACACCTTGCCTTTTGGAAAGTGCCAAATATAAAATCAAGGAACCAAGATCTATCACCACCATCATTTAACAAATATTGGAACACTGTCAATATACCAATGATTTACATTTAATATGCTTTTCACGTAATATTTTCAGACATGATTTCCGCAGTATATACAGCTCTAATTTTTCTTTAACTGAAGCTCAAATAAAATGGCAAAATAATTGGATTACATTTATTGACGGCATGCTTCAACTAAGCGCGCTCAGCTGTAATCATAAGATGATCTGTATGCCAGAAGCTTTCAGCAAACTGACGATCGATGTAGAGAACCATTTCAATAATATATCAAACGCTGATGAACAAAACATTTTGATCGCCAATATATTTAAAACACAAGACTGTATAAAGTAAGCGTTGCATTAGTTTATATTCTACATATCTATGAGTTTTTCATTAATTTATATGAGGATACTTCAAAAAAAATTTAGCAATCTTTATAAGAAATAGGTAACCTACATATTATGTCATTACAAAAACCTTATTGACGCTTGATTTTTACATTTTAGATGCGGCGGTGTGATTATAGAACATATAAAATATAAAAATTTGCCACCGTTGAATAAAAACGTCGTTTCCCTAAAAACTAAAAAATTTGTACCTCATTTCCCAACAAACAATTCAGACGTAAGTATTTTTATATTGTGTATGTAATATTGAGACCCAAAATATAGAAAAGAATATTTTAAAATAACTGTATTTTTCATTAATATTGCTGGATTTAAAGGAGTTCTGTAAGAACCTTAAGTATAACTATGTACTCACATGCTATTTTATCTGTACAGGAACTAACAGCATCATACATATTTTTACAAATAGCCGCTGAGAATTTAAATAAACAATTCATTAACGTTGTTGAAATCCTGAGAGACGAAACTGCTAAATCTAACTTTGAGGCGATCAGAGGTATTTCTAACAACATCTCTGGAATTAGCACACAACACTCTTATATTTACAGAGACAAAATTTTAGAAGATGGCGAAAAGATAAATAGCGCTGACCTATTATTAACCACAAACTTATCTTCTGATAAAAACGTAAGCTTAATTGGTTTATTATTTTATTATAATAGATATAGACTATATTAATTAAGCTATATTCTAATAAATGTATTGACTACTTATAAGGATATTGTTTGAAAAAATATATACATATACTTATTTATACTAATATTTGCTTAAATTATTTCACATAATATTATGTTCTTATCTCTTCTGCAGATGGATCAAATGCTACAGCGCATATTAAAATGCGATAGTCTTTTGGTTAATAAAGAACTGGACATAGAAGGAAAATTCAACAGATGCCTTTCGATGTTGTATCGCAGTGTAAATGCACATATTATTAATAATTATAACCGTATAGAATTAGCTATATGGAAACCTAAAGATTCTAATGGCTCTAGTGTATACACGGTTCGTTCACAGTCAGATTTATCATATGTATCATCTTTGATATCGACTATTCCTTTGAGTCAAAAAGTTTATTTACTAGCCAGTTACCCACTTGTTAAAGGATTGAAATCCCTGATTAAAGAATGGAGAAATGAAAGAAAAGTATATTTGGCTATAATACATCAAGATGAATGGGATGATAAACTTTTAAATGAAATACTGTTCAAAGATTTAGTGACCAACATTTACAAAAATGTAAGTTACTTACTATATTAATTGTAAAATTAACCTTTTCGTATAATTTCCGTGACATTTAACTACAATCTCAGTAATACATTGATTATTATAAATATTACCTAGTTTACTAATTGTAAAGTATGATTTGCTTAGGGTGTCTGGGGAGGAGAATATATTTTGCCATTGGAAGAGACCTCCACGCCAAAACATAATATTATGTTGAAATGCGCCCGAGCTGGTGATTTCGACTCGATATATTGGATTGAGGCACCACAAAAATATGATAGCGGTATTAATGTAGATGTAAGTATGTTAATGTAAATGAAAACATATACTGACCTTTAAATTTAGCCATGTTGTCATCTATTTGCCCTTTTAAGCGGATGTGATTTTCGCAAAGAGTTCATTTAGGTTTACTTGATTGATGATTATATCCGATCGAATAGGAAACGAAACTGATGAATAGAGCGGTCGTTGCTTTTTTTCAGGTTCACTATGCTGGCATTAATCTAGTGTATTTAAAGGAAGAAGCTGGAATCATTAATTCGTACAACACCGATGGACAGCGAGCCTTTAAAGTCGACTTCAGCGGCATAACTGAAGCGTATGTACAAATTTTTCTTTAACATTTTGAAATATTCTAGGTATACTGATCATAAATTAATAATTAAATGTATTTAAAAAAATAGGGGAAATCGTGTAATGGGTATAGTTCCTGATCAAGTAATAAGCACACAAGTTAAAGCGCAACCGGAATTATTGTGGTCAGTTCCAGATCACTGGAGTCTTGAAGACGCTGCCACTGTACCTTTGGCTTACTGTATCGCTTTCTACTGCTTGGTAAGGAATATTTTACATATATTTTTCACCTTTGTATAATTTGTCTTTGTTGTTTAGCTTTTCCTTGTTTCTTGACCCCATCACAAGCCCCATCACAAAAATATCTTCATTTTTTATACCCTTGCCAAAGAATCTCACTAAAATAAAATGTATTCCTGTGTTCATGAGTTTCTGTGTTCTGACATAGCGTAATTTAATTGTGCATATTTATACTATTTTACAGATGATCAAAACCCAGCTTATTCCCGGACGACGTGTACTTATCCATGGCGGTGCCGGCGCTCTAGGTCAGGCTTTAATATCTATTGCCTTAGCTTTCCATTGCAAGGTCTTTGCTACAGTTAGTGACATACGCAAGATACATTTCCTGCAAAAACTATTTCCTCAACTGCAAGGTAAAAATATATCTGCGAAATTATATTATTTGATTTCTCACGCAATATTTAAATATTTACATTTACTTAATTCATAATATTAAATATGTATATCTAATATTATGAAGAATTTTCATACACTCCTCAAGTGCCAAGAAATCTCGATCTGATCTCAGATTTATTTTCATAACATTGTAGATGATCATATCGGAAACTCCTGCGACCACAGCTTCGGAGACATGGTTCTCGGGGCTACCGGAGGTGAGGGTTGCGACGTTATCGTAAGCTGCGTCCAGGGAGAACTTAAAAATGTACGTCAATTTTGACTTAGCTTAAAATTAAATTTTACATGGAAATGAAATAAAATTGTGTAATTGCCTCTAGACTACGTTAAAATGCTGTGCCACGTCGGGTATAACTCTCGATACAACACAATTACTGAGCCGTGAAGATTTTAACTTTGGAATGTATAATCTAACGAAATGTCGTTCTTATGCAAGGATCAACTTCTCTACAATCTTTACAAATCCAGAACAACTATTGGTGAGTAAATAGCGTCACATACTTTAAACACGTAAATAATTATCTACTTGGTAAAACCATTTTACCATAACTAAAGTTTTTTTCTATAATTTAAGACTATATTTTATCGTATACTAATTTAATCTAATTTATAATTCATAATATAATTTTAAAAACCTGGTATTTATTTATAAAACGTTTTTGATATACTTTTGTGAAATATTTAGGAATTGCAAGCATTGGTCTGTGAGGGTATAGCACGTGGCTACGTTAGACCATTATCACGCCTAACGTTCATGCCACAAGAGGCTCCGAGAGCTTTCCGAATTCTAGTTGCCAGACGCCACCGCGGTCGAGTGTTACTTGATGTACGGCATCATGGTGTAAACATTCCAGTTCCAAGGTAAATATTCCATCTTCGGTGATCTCAATATTTTGTAGTTGAATAAATTCATTTTATTTTTTAATCTGCGTTATTACACTTTGTATGGATTATTGCAATGCAAATTATAAAAATATGTACAATTTGCATTGCAATAATCCATATAGTATGTATAAACTTTAATCAATTACAATCTATATCCATTTTGACCACGAAATCAGTATACACTTTTATCGTTTGCGTTCATATATCAGCGTCAGACCCCGTTCGTACTTGTCGGGTGTTGGATCCGTATTTTAATTTGATGTCGGATTATCTGTTGACACTAGCCGGGTGTCGGATCCGATGACGCTGGACCCAATTATTGACACTCTATACGAGGCGACTTTACGCTATGGACGTCGATGAAACTTTTGTTGTGATGTATTATTATTCGAGAAGAAAATAAATAACAACAGCCAAGAAATGAAGATTTTGGATTCACCCAATCCTGAGGGAAAGATTTACTTTGGGAACATTTTAATTATTGTTACGTTCTATGACTTCGGGGATCGGAAATTAAACACGTCTCTTGCACTAACGATGTTTTATTACTCTTGATTAGCTGACTGACTTATTTAGATTCACTAACACACGCAGAATATACACAGTCCAGGTTAAACTCAGTCTCTGGACACTAATTTTCACCATTCGACACTATTTTTCACTTCGAGTATAACTTCACTTAACTTTACTTTTCACTTTTTTCGAACTTCTTCGCAATCTTCACTTAACTTTGAAATTCAAGTGATCTCTCGACACACTGTCGGCCTTTTAATATGCATAAACAAAGAACATTCTAATATTTGAAAATTCGACACCTTTCTAGTCATTTCGTATGTTTTATTCCTCTCTCAATCTTACACACAGCTCTCTTAATTTACAATTAACCGTTCTTGTCTAAATTCAAAGCTTCTGGTAATTTCGATATCTTTCCCGAATGTTTCGTTCCTCTCTTACTCTCACACACGGCAATTTACGATTAACTGTTCTTGTCTAAATCTCGAAACTTCTAGTAATTTCGATGCCTCTCTCGAAATGTTTTGACAACTGTCTTAGGATGCATAAAACATGCTTCAGACGTGTCTTTTTTAATTATTTTTTGTGTAAAGACTTCACACACTCTCCATTACGCGACATTAGTTTAGTATGTCAATAACTACATTCAACGATCAATTGGCAACTCTGCGTGCGCGCCGTGATTTGTGTTCTGTGTACGTGATCTACGCTAGCCGCGTAGCGACGGGCGGAACAAGAGGAAGCGGGGAGAGGGTTGCCGCGCCCGCCAGGCGACAAATGTGAACAGCTCGTACCTACTCATAAGCGAGCGAGATCCGACTCGATTTTTTTATGGAGGTGCGGGGCTGGCAAAACACCCGACAATCCTTGGAGCGGACAAAAACCTGTTGTAGTATAAATGTGAACAACTTCATAGTAGAAAATGTTCAGCCACTAGAGCACCCGACATTTTGTCGTGCCCGACACGTGATAAGTATGAACGAGCCGTAAGTGAAACCAAACAGTGGTCCGCTTACGTTTCTTTCTTTTTAACCGACTTCCAAAAAGGAGGAGGTTCTCAATTCGTCGGAAAGTTTTTTATGTATGTTCACCGATTATTCGAAGACGCCTGAACCGATTTGGAAATATATTTTTTTTGTTTCGAAGGGTATACTTCCCATGTGGTGCAATTTAAGTTTTATCAAAATCGGTAGAGCGGTTTTTAAAAAAATCAATAATTAATTCCTTTTTAAATAAATTGCTTAATCGAAAATTTTATTTAAAAATTTCTTCTTACAAATTACCTGCTTATTACGTTTGCACTAAAAATGGAAAAATAAAAAATAAAAAAAACCGACTTCCAGTCATTAAAATGTAAAAAATAACTAAACGGGGGTTTTCATTTAGAATAGATACCTAATCAGATATTTTCGTAGTAGGTGCTTGCCGACAATATGTTAAGATTTATCTTTAAGATCTATATCTGTTATCTGTTAATATGTTTAAGATCTATATCTACGTTTATCTTATAGATAAATATGATTAGGTATGAACTCTAATTATAGTTAAAATACATCAATTTGTGATGTATTTTATGTTTATATTAGATTTGTTTTGCCTAGGCTGGCACCGACTTCACAAATATCTTTAGTTAGCTTAGTTATTTGTTACATTTTAGTGCCTGGAAGTCGGTTTGTACTTTTTTTTTTAATTTTTATTAAATGAATTTGTTGCATTTTGAATTTTTGATTATAAGTCATAATGAATAAAAATTATGGACATTTTTAAAATTATGAATAACACGGATTACTGTAAATTATAACGAACTGATATGTTAATACCTTTTAGTATTACGCGAATATTTAACTTTATAAAAAACGTATTTTTTTTATTACATTTAGGTATTAAAAAACATTTAGGAAATTATTTTTTACTAAAAATTATTTACCGCTTTTCCTTTATAAAATATAGCATGAAGCTATCAATAAACTGTTTCAGATTAAGATGTGCTTCTGATATGTGTCAAGTGATCCTGTCTAAAAATGAAGAGTTAGGCATTCAGTTAGCGGAGAGGCTTGCAAACCGCGGTGCACGAAACATATATCTATACTGTGAAAAAATATCTAATATACTGCTATTTAAGCAAAGGTACATATTATACAATAATAACTCCAAGATAATGTAATTCGTAAGTTTTAAGTGCTTGTGATTCTTGATTCTTGATTTTTAAACTACTTTCATTTATATATCTGCAAATTATTAGGTTACCGGTTATCAGTGATGTACACACTCATTATTACTAAATATATTCTGTATACAACTTCACAGTATACTTTAATAAAAATTATCTGAATTCAACCGCGACGACGCGACGTGCAGATAGACTCTCTTGCCGTAGATTTCTCTGTAAAAAGAAAATGTGAACGCACGTTTTACTTAGTTGATCTACGTGCGTTCATAAATGGGCAGGTTTTTTATGTATTTTTGTGGGTTTGGTTTTGGAATTCAAATAATAGTCTTTAATAGAGAGGACAAAGTTGGTTTAACCGATAAACTAGATAAAACAGACAGATAGAACAGATTATTCCGATTTGTTTCAGATCTTGGCAAGAAGATGGAGTAAATATCAAGGTATCACAAGAAAATCTAAATCAAGCCAACTTAGTTGATTTGATCAAAGGCAATATTAATAGAGCTATAGAAGGATTATATTTGTATGACATAATTTCTCAAAAGGAAGAAATCGATAAGTCAGAAGAATTAATTTTAAAAGTAAAAAAAATGATTCCAAAGCTAAAGTAAGTTTATCCGAATACAAATATTTGCTCGCGGTTGCGCCATCATGGTGAGCAAGGCAGGGATAAAAATTAGCCTATATCCATCCCGATTATACATTGGGTATAAGTTGATATTCACTTAGGACAAGAACATAACATAAGTATTGTATGGCAATATTGTAAATTAATATTATTTAAAAAAAAAACAACTATTGAGTTTCTCGTCGGCTATTCTCAGCAGAACTGCCTTCCGAGTCGGTGGTATATTCCTCACGAACTTACATACTGCTATAAATTAAATTTAAAAATATAAAATTGACGATTCTATTCATAAATGCTTTTTGATTTGATATAATACTTCCTTGTTAAGCATTCAAATCTATTCAGCGGTTCAAGTGTGAAAAAGTTACAACAAATATCAACTTACAATGGATAATACTATACCATTGTAATGTTGGTATGAAAATTTTAAATAATCCAACTACTTAAAGATTGAGAACTAACAATTTTATTTGAGAACTGAATCCAAATCCATTGAAATTGGTTAACTTTGATTAGACGCAGAAAAAACACAAAAATACGTTTTACTAAATTTAGTTACCAATATTTAATAATTAGTACATTTTCAGATACTTTGCAATAATTAATTCCAACTTCAACATCAATGAGCAGATCGATGTGGGTAGAAATCGAGAACCATTGATTGTCTGGGTTAATTTGCCGTTACTGGACAAGGTACAGCTATTTGTATACAAGAATTGAGATGTTTTATATTATGAGCTTGAATTTTATTATTTTTTATCGCTAATACTTAAAGAAAGCAATATATCCAGAATGAATCGAATTTGACCCAAATAACCAAAAAGTATCAAATTTTAACTATTTCTCTTCCATTAGATTTCGAGAAAACAAAGCATACTTAAACAAATAACTCTCTTCTCTTACAAATCGGAAACTTATTTTTTGCAGCTGGATGAATGGGAAAAAAGTTATTCTTCAGAAGGATCAATATCATCTTTAACTGCTGTTGATGTTGTGGAAAAAGCGCTGTGTTCTAATCAGTCAGTTGTAATCGCTTCAAAAGTAACACTACCACATGTTCCTTTAATGCAAGCAATTTCCAAAATGGCAGGTAAATGTTCTATCAAAATCATTGATTTAACATCGAATATTTTTATATCTTTCAATTATCAGACTACTATTTTAAGTACGAAAGTTGGTATGTATGTATGTGTATGTTTGTTACTCCATGACGCTGAAACGGCTTGATTTAAATAAAATTAAGTGGACATAAGTACAGACTATGGACCTGAAGTGAAAACAGAAGACTAATGGAGGGTAAGTCGTCAATTTGAATATTTAAAACGTGTTATAAAACAAAACGTCTTATTTACATAAAATATCCTCTGCTACTTTGTGTCGTAGGACATAACAAAATTTCAATTGCTTTAGATTAGATAACATGATCAAATTTTCCACAGTAATATCTTCTAAAATAACTATAGTTCCAAAAGACTATTTAAAAAATCAGCTTTTATGTCGCTATATAAGGTACCATACTATTTTTATAATTCCATGCAAATAAATTGTCCTCCTTAGTTCAGTGGTGGAGAACTCGAGAATCTTAACTAATGGCACTAATACTGTAACTGTTAATTTGCATATTACAATTTATCCACAGGTATTAATATAGAAGATAAGACTCCTGAGAAGAATACATTAAAAGATTTGGGCATAGATTTAGCTAATTCGGAGGCAATACGAGCATATTTGCATTATGAGCACAATATATCTTTGACTAATCAAGATATGTCTTCACTTACTCTAAAAACGTGAGTAGAGAGAATCTATATGAAATGAAGGAATATTATTTATAGTTCATATTATCATATTTGTATCGACCAGTTTAGCATTTCACAAACATTTTTATTGCTCTGGTCTGGTCTTTTTATATTTTCCCATAGTGACCCACCAAAAGATTTTTAATCCGTCTAGTACAGGTAGGGAAAATTAAAAGCACATTTGGATGTCCAAATAGGATATGTGTATTAAGGTAAAATAAATAATAATTCAATAATAATATCAGAATTATATTAAATTTTTGTGAAAAGTATGAAGCTATTTGTTTTTAACTATGAACTCTAAGTTTGTCTGAAAGGACTTTAACTCTATTCTTAGGTCTGCTTCGACTTCCAATCGGTTTCTATATGTATTTTTAAGCATACTGGTGTTGAATACCCTGCTTCACATTTATACATAGGTTGTGACAAAGAGCATTAAACATTTTGTCACTTGATCTGCTAAAAGTTGGTACTCTTGACGACAACACAACCAAAAGTCTATAAAAGTCAGTTTTCTCTCGAATATAACCTTGAGTACTGTGTCACATGTCAATTCAATTAGCGAGTCGATATTTGAATCTATTGATTAAAAATATTATTAAGTGTTGCTATTATTATATTTAACCATAAAGAAAATTAAAAAGTTTTAATAAAACTTACTTTAAGTCGCCAAAGAAAATTACTTAGATCTTACCACCAATCTCAGGAGTATATAAGCTTGATTGTGATTATAGGCTCTCCTACATTAGGCAAATAAAGAGATCTATTAGAACTCCGGTTAAAGAATACATATCTGATGTGAAGCACCATCGTACCACGATAGTGGACTACTATTGCTTCAGGATGATTTACGAAACTATTAAAATTAACAAACATCCAAACTTCAATAGGGTAGATCAGGGATGGCCAACCGGTCGATCGCGATCGACCGGTCGATCGCGGCTATTAGTCCAGTCGATCGCGGCAAGGCAAAAAATATAAATATTAAATACATATAACAGACTGCTCAACGTATTCACCAAATGCAGCGCGTACCAACTGGTGTGATTTTTAAATGCCGACCCGTCACGTTATTTATTCTTTCTTCCACACAGCAGCTTTTGTTTTTAAAATGTTAAGAAATATTTGTATAAATATTGTATAGTAGATCGCACTGAGATTCGTAAGTAAAAAGTCGATCTTGGGTCTAATCAAGTTGGCCACCCCTGGGGTAGATGGTTGGGTACTACCATCATCGCGGGATCCTGTAATTACCATAATAAAATCTAACAACGAAAATAAACAAAACAGACCATTAGAAGTAGTTAGTTCATACTGTGAGGATCTAAATAGCAGTAATTTAATTTTTTTATCTACAAAGGTAGCAATAGTGTTGCTTAATATTTTAACTTTTTAAATTACTTATCCATACTTCTATACTAATATTATAAAGAGGTAAAGTTTGTGAGTTTGTCACGTTGTAGGGGGTACTCTCTGGATCTAGTGACCCGATTTAGATGAAATTTTCTAAGAAGATAATTTGAGACCTTGAGAAAGACATGGGATACTTTTTATCCCGGAAATCATCCCTTAAGGGGGGGAAACTGGGGATGAAAGTTTGTATGGGGAATCAACCTACGCTAGTCTATACTAATATAATAAAGAGGTCAAGTTAGTGAATTGTGAGTCTGTGAGTTTGTGACGTTGTAGGGAGTAATCTCTGGATCTACTGAACCGATTTAGATGAAATTTGGTTAGAAGATAGTTTGAGATCCTGGGATGGACATAGGATTTTTATCATGGAAATCATCCCTTAAGGGTATGAAAGTTTGTATCGGGAACCAAGTTAGGGACGAACCCGAGCGAAGCGAGGGTGAGTCGTTAGTAAAACAATAATATTACTTAAATAAATAATTAATATTTTTAATTTTCTTAATGTCTATACATGTTATTATTTTGATATCTCATATGAAGCCAACTCAAGGTTTTCAGTTGGAGCGTTCTGTGAAAAAATAGAAGCTATACATTTTTTGGTACCTTTTCTGTCTCTCTTCTTATTAATGAAAAATTCTATTGGCCGCTTATTAGAATCACTATCAGAAATTGTACTCGGCTGTTGGTGTGCGTTACTTGGCTTTATTAACCACTTTTTATATAACTTTATATTATTATATAACTATATTAAATAAATGTTGATTAAATGATATTGAATCAATAAATCAAATCAATATAAGTAAAATGACAAACGTAGGTAAAACATTAAAATCATGCACAGAAAGACAATTATTCTTAATACTGGATACGCACAAGCTGAACGACAACGAGCGGTGGCGGGATGGACATGTGCGGGCGGCGTTCGAGGTGCGGGGCGAGTAAAACAAAACTATGCGGGAAGCGTGAGTGATGACGACTACCACTCAACAGTGCAATGGCGTAGTGCTTGCGTTGACATAAAAGCAATATGTCTCTTGATCATTCACGACTATGATTATAAACAAGGAGAAATATTGTGATCCAGTATTTTATTCATGTCGCCCAGTACCAAGTCGCGACCCACCGTGTAAGAAACTCCTTACTAGATTATTTTCTGATTTAATCGAAATATAGGAATTTGAACCATTTACGGTTTACCATCAATGTCTTGATATTGACAAGAATGACGAAAATACCCTCTAAATACCATCAAGTCGCTAAGATTATATTATTGTAGTCTACGAGTATAATAATAATTTTAATATAGGTAATACATATTGAAACTGATTTAACATTTATGCAACTATGCTTTGTTTGCAGGCTTAAAAACTTGGAACGAAACATTATGAAAATCAACTACACCGAAGTCGATGGACTGAAATCATTATTTTTTAATGTAGACTCTGATGAGATTCAAGCTAGCAGTGACATTGTATTTCTACCAACATTAACTAATACTATTTTGGTAAGCTAAATATAAATATTAAGAATAACAATTAAATACACTAAAAGCATTTTTTTAATTCACATTGCCTTGTTAGTCTAGCAGCTGGCTTATACTCATGAAAATTTTAAGGTTCTTGTTTGTTTTCGAGGAGCATGTCAATATTGGTAAACCTAAAAGTTGCTAAGAAATTCAGTAGTAATAGTTTGTTGGAAAATATATGGTGTTAAACTCGTTCAGGTTATGCTGTTTCTGTGTTTTAATTAACGGAAAAGAGTCACAAGCATGACAATTGGCCCCTTTTTTTAACGTTGGGAAATGCATTTACGCATGAAGTGTGGGACTCACCGGCGAAGCCAGTACTACCCACTTAAACCCATCAAAGCCTTCCCCCCGTCTTAATGGGGCGTCGCAGGATCGCTTACGCATTCAACTACGACGCCCCGACGGCAGGTCTGCCGAAGCAGACCACAACAACCACTCTGCTAACAGAGAAGTACCAGGAGCAACCCGCATGGTACACCACCCTCCGAAGAGGGCCACCTCCCACCGCCCACTACTGAGCCCCCCCCACACGATAAGGTGAACGCACGTTGGGTGGAATGACAATTGCCCCTGGCTATTGAGTATCTAAACTGTCATGGGACATTTTCACGTAGAATATATAACAAGTGTGGTAAATATGACGTAATGGCCTCCTTCTGACAACAGGGCTGAACTGACTGAACAATAACATGAAGTGAGAAAGGAAAGCAAACGCTTTTACCGCCACTAAGGTGTTTTAAGTGTCACAAAATAACCTTCCAGCGTTAATTTAGCAGCATTCCTGCAGATGCAACATCTTTTCAGGGCGATATAGTTATATATGATAGCGAACATGTAACAGTATTATGCTTTATTTAATTTAGTTACTACACCATCTCATTATGTCTTTTGTGGTTTTACAGTCTGATTGTGATTTCGATAAAAGTCAAGCGTATATGTGCATAGTGCCGGGTGTTGAAGGCCACTATGAGCGGTTCCGTGTATTGTGTGAGCGACTCAAACTCCACGCGCTCGTACTGCAGCCTGGTCTGAATAATCCTCGAGAAAGTATGGATGACTTAGCTAATAGATATGTTCAGGTAGGTGTCTCTTTCTTTTACAAATAGTCTTGAGATAAAATCGTTTCAAGTAAAAATCAAAAATGTTTTAATAATTGATTGAGAAATATACAAACGTACTCGTTCTGCATGATTATGATAATATAGCACTAGAATTTCACACCATTCCTATGCCTTATTTAGAGTGTTTATAATATAATCTCAGTGTAAACATTATTTATTAGGATTAAAATTATTTCAGGTTCTTTTTAAGAAAACAGGTCTTCGTGACAAATTCGTCCTATTAGGCTATGAAAGTGGTGTTTTAATAGCAATAAAAATGGCAGAAATTCTGGAAGCGCACGGTAAGACTTATGTATATTATTTATATTATAAATTTCTTATGATAAAAATATTTGATTTCATGAATTGAGTGACATTTATTTTCAGGTATACTTGGAACCATTTTTTGTATCGGCGGATCCCCAGATGATATCAAGGCACATTTTCAGCATAAACTAAGCATTTATAATACTGAAGTAGATCTCCAAAATGCAATTTTACAGCACACAACAAGTCTTATGATGAAAAAAGCTGATGAAAGAATTAATAAAAATCTAGAAACTGCTGCGACATGGGACAAAAAAGTATTAGCTTGTGCGCGCATAATGAAGGAAACTATTCAACACTCCAGTCAATATGCGAAACAAATCATAGAATCTGCGTACGCAAAAGTGTACCAAGTACTTCAGTACGAGCCAGTGCCGGTCGTGCTTCGTTCAAATATAATTTGCCTTCGTCCTACGACATGTAGAGCAACAACTTTACAGAAGTTTTCTGAACAACCAGTCGTCGAGTACAATCTAAACACACCGCTCGAGTACATGATGCAAGATTTACGCTGCTCCGCTATCATCAACAGACACATCGGCGATGATATTCTACAACAATTTAATAAGAGGAACTTGTGCGAAATATATGAAAGCTAGGTGTCGAGTAAGTTATAGATTTTAGTCGTCGCTTGAACCATAACGTCTTCCTTATTATTGATATCGACACGTTATCTTCCTGTTTCATTTGGTGTGTTAGCGATATTTAATCCTCTTATCCTGCTGATTGTACTGCAAGGATCCTTTTTCTTTGGTATCTAGAAACATTATCACTTCCTTACCTTCTTATTCATAATTTTAGCTAGTTGCCATCTATCAAATAATTTGTAATACCGAGGAATCTTCTTTACATAAGACATATGTAAATATTATCACATATCCATACTAATATTATAAATGTGAAATTTTGTGAGTATGAATGGACGTTTGTAACTCTTTCACTCCAGAATAGCTGAAGATGAAACTTGGCACAGAGATAGATTATAGTCTGGAATAGCACATAGGTACATACTTTTTATACCGGAAAAATGTACGGTTCCCGCGGGATAGATTTATTTTTGTCTAGGGACGAACCTAAAGCGAAGCGATGTTGAGTCGCTAGTTGGATATATATAGATCGAAACTGCTGTATAGTCGTCAGCAACTTATTTAGTATTTTTTATAACTTTCACAAATGTTTCGACACAAAAGCCTAGTTATTTGTAGATGTTTATGTTATCTGTAGAATAAGCCGGCTTATTATAAAGTATGTCTCTTTTAAGAGAATACTATGACAGCGATAAAGTCTATATGACAAAACTGCCATAATTGTTAAATTTAATTTCATACCGAATTAACTGTGCCCTTTCTTTATATATTTTTTTCTATCTTTCAAAAGATCTGTGCGTGTTTGTCGAATGGAAATAACGGCATAGTGATTTAAGTGTAGAATTGTTAGATACCTACATGTATCAGCTAAAATATATTATTTTTATTTATTTTAATAGGTACTTATATTATTTGTACATTTAATGTGCTGTTTATAGACGATGACTTCTCTTCTCCTGTATGTATGTATGTATGTATGTATGTATATATGTATATATGTGTGTATGTATGTATGTATGTATGTATGTATGTATGTATGTGTGTATGTGTGTGTGTGTGTGTGTGTGTGTGTGTGTGTGTGTGTGTGTGTGTGTATGTATTGAGGATATGCAATTGTGTGAAGTTATTACACCGCCTACCATTTCATATTATTTTCTACTACGCCCTAATAATGCCTGGAAGAAATCGCTTATAGCGATAAGGCCGCCTCCTGTGCATCATCTATTGTTTATTCATTCTTTTTGTATTTTCCTTTATGGTGTACAATATCTTTCTATCTTAGAATGCCTTTGAACTAGTAACCCTGTTAGCGTATTAGACGATTGACTCAATATTTTTAATGGTGGAAAAACCGGAAAAGATGGCTTGAAGATAAATAATACATTAAATATATAATAGTTCAGGTGACCAAAACCAAATTCTTAAGTTTTACAAATTAGTATACATTGCAATTTTTGTATTTTTTCTCATAAATGAGATATTTCCAGCGGTAAAAAATATCCTATATGTTGAACCGGATAACCAGCTATCACCATACCAAATTTCATCAAAATCCCTCCAGTGGTTTTTCCGTGATACAGTAACAGACAGACAGACAAAATTTTTAAAAACTATAAATTCGGTCTTTGTATCCATAATAATGTCTATTTCAATAAGATTTTCCAAAAAAATATCTAATGTACAGTTTCGCCTTAGTTACAATTTTATTATATGTATAGATTTTGTATGGGAATAAATAATGTTTGAAATTTTTAGTGCTTTTTAATTTTTATTTGATTTTTCATCATTATTTATAAGCTTATTACCTATCATTTAAAGATAAAGTTATCTATCGGGGGGCACGGCAGTGCCCCCGCCAAGTCGAGCAAACAAGTCGAGCAAAAAAGGGCACGGCAGTACCATCCTTTTCTCGAAGGGATTCAGAGCATTTTCCACCCCCCCATAACTTCGTTATGGATAAAGCTAGAAGCTTGAATTTTGAGTGACTAAGAGAACATAATAAAACTAGGTAAATTTCCAAATTACATTCAATTTGAACCAGTAGTTTATGAACTGTTGCAGATCAAAATTCGTTAATATCGTCACTCACTCACTCACCGATCATCAAAATTCTAAGGTACTTCTAGCAGACATAGAAGCTTCAAATTTTGAACACAATTCGTGTTTACTCTATAACCCAAGGAAAAATTCAAACATCACGCAATTTCAATCCTGTTTTCGAGATATACAACAAACTGCATCAGTAACTTTGTAATCCTATACAAAAAGATATGCGATATATGGGATTACAAAGTTACTTGTGCAGTTCATACATATAATTGTCGTCACTTGCAATGTAAAAGGAGGTTAGGTTAGTGTTTAACCTGTCTGTATGTTTGTATGTTCGATCCTATGTTCCCTCGTAATTACTAACCTAATCACGATTCGTCTATTTATTTATTAATGTTGATATTGCAACTATTGTATACATTAGAAAAATATTATTCAAATGTGAAAATATTATTTCAAGCGTTTTCAGTAGCTGTATACATTTTTATGCATATACAAATGGGTACATAAATACAACGTGAAGCGTGTATAGTGTATACCTACCTACTAATATTCGATTACCTGTTATTTATAATGAATTTATTAAAATATATACCTAATTACGACAAAACTTGACGATTACTTTATTTTTGACGACACGTTTGGCTCAGTTTGTAGTGGCCCGGCCCTACTTTCTGTGCCGGCGGTCGCGGGTTCGAGTCCCGCTGGGGGCGAATGCCTCTCACAAATGAATATTTGTGTGATGACTAAAGTTTGTACTCCAGTCATGGGTGTTTATATTTATAATATGTATGTATTTAAAGTTATATATGTGTAGTGTATCAACTATCTAGTATCCATAACACAAGCCTCGTAGCTTACCATGGAACTAGATGGTTTTGTGTGTTACTGTCCCAACATATTTTGAAACAAAGCTCGTATATTTTCTTTTATAAAGTATGATGTTGATTTGAATTAGAAAACTTGTTAACATTTCATTGCTCGTAACTGTACACACCTAATAGAACATGGAATATAGAGGTCATTAAATATCAATCTCTTCGAAAATTACTAAAAATGGCCAATGGAATCAGTGAATGAAGTGAGTTGGCAACCTCACTTTTCTATTAAACTGCATCAAAATTGACTTAACAAGCAATAATAATTAAGTATAACAACCTTCGGGATTTACCTACGATGCCGCAGATAGACACATAAATCTACACGTTTTATTAAACTAACGTAAGTTCAATATCAGTATCGGGGTAGGTATTTAGGGTCAACAATGAAATTAAAATATTCATTAAATTAACTATACATATTTATACTTAATGCATAAGATAGTAGTAATGAAGCCCAGGAATCCGCAATTTCCGAATACAATAGACTTAGATTTTTTATCAGACTTGTCAAGATTTGTTATATCAAAGCCTCTGAAAAAAACCCACAGAGACAGGGAGTGGGCTTTTAAGAAGTCCTTAGCTGACACACAAGAAATAGTACAAGAAAAGGGAAAAAGAAGAAATATTTACAAAAAGAAATGAGATCCCATCAAAACATACTGTAAAAATATTGCAAGTCTCGCAACGCATCTCTCTACCGCAAAAAGCTATGAGATATAATGTAAAACCAAGTCGGTTAATTTATTCATTACCTATCTATGGGAGCATCTATCCGACAACTTTGTCATAAATCGTTACCGAATTAGTTAAGTTACAACATTTTATAGTGACCGTATTAATATTAGATATATTTATTTCTTTAATTAATAGAATGACTTGGCCATCGCACATGATAATAGAACCTACAAATAACAAAATTTACCTAATATTAACGTTCTGAGTGCATTATTTATGTATTGTTAGTGTATGCATCAATTTGACCCGCTAGTACTATGTTCCGTTCATTTCAGCCCAAACACGTCCACAGCTGGACATAGGCCTCCCCCAAAAATTTCAACGACAACCAGTCTTGTGCCATCCGCATCCAGTGGGCTCAAGCGACTTTGACCAAGTCGTCCGTCCACCTTGGTCATGGTATTTTTAATTAGGACTATTTAAAGTAGTAGACTCTTATGTAATTATGTTTCCGTGCGATGGCCAAGTCACTCTATTAATTAAAGAAATAAATATATCTAATATTAATACGGTCACTATAAAATGTTGTAACTTAACTAATTCGGTAACGATTTATGACAAAGTTGTCGGATAGATGCTCCCATAGATAGGTAATGAATAAATTAACCGACTTGGTTTTACATTATATCTCATAGCTTTTTGCGGTAGAGAGATGCGTTGCGAGACTTGCAATATTTTTACAGTATGTTTTTGATGGGATATATTATTCATAATTAAATCGAAGAAAACTATGATTGTACAAAGTAAAATTCTAGAGATATTTCATTATTTATATTTTGGTGAAGTTTAACATGATGATAATATTAATATAATGAACTAGCATTGCCCGCGGCTCCGCCCGCGTTCAGATGGCCAAAAGCCAAATTCTTAGGTTTTACATATTAGTTTACTCTTACATTGCAGTTTTTGTAGTTTTTTTCAGAAATGAGATATTTTCCAGCGGTAAAAAGTATCCTATATGTTGACCCGGATAACCAGCTATCACCATACCAAATTTCATCAAAATCCCTCCAGTGGTTTTTCTGTGATGCGGTAACGGACGGATGGACAGACAGACAGACAGACAGACAAAAACTCGAAAAACTATAGATGCAGACTCTGTATCGATAATTATGTCTATTTTAATTAGATTTTCGAAAAAAATATTAAACGTACAGATTCGCCTTAGTAAAATTTTATTATATGTACAGATAATGGTAATTGTTTTGAATAAATAAATATGTTAAATTAAAAAAAACGAATTTTAATTTTCCAGTACAAATCGGCAATTTCATACTTTGACCCCTATTGTTTACCTATTAGACATTCATTTCTTAAAGCATTGTCAGACTATACAACTTATAT